GGCAAGCGTCCTCATGGTGGACGCTGAGATCTTTGGAGTGGTGGTTGCCATCTAAACAGGTTTGGGGCCAGGGCAGCGGCTTGCAGGGCTGGAAGCCCAAGTGCACGATGTGTTCAAGAGCTCAGATTCGCAGCAGTGGTCCGGCACGCTCCTCTCCAATGGAGGCAATGTCCTCTAGGCTCAGCAGCATAAAACAGAGGGGTGCAGGGCATGGGGGAGCGACGGGATGTGGAGCTTGTCCGTGGCATTGCCCGGTTGACGTGCGTGTTTTGTGTCCAGGTTGCTGTCCCCCCGGCCCAGCTTGCTCAACACCGCCAGCGACGCCAGGCTGAACTCCTCGCCGCAGAAGCCGCTGGACCTGAAACAGCTGAAGCAGCGTGCTGCTGCCATCCCTCCCATCGTGAGTACCCCCCGGGGAGGGCCGGGACTGCGAGCGCAGCAGCCCTGTGTGCCTCCTGCATGCTCTTCCATCGGGCTGCGTCCCTGGCATGGCGTCCGTCGGGGTTGCAAGCATGGGCTCATCCCTGCGGATGGCCGGGCTCGGGGGCTGCGGAGAGCTGTGCCCGGGTGGTGCGAGCCCGGCGGCAGGCGAGGTGCTCTCTGCGCTCCCCGCTGCCGGAGCGACTCTGCCAGCAGCGTTTGGATGTCCCTTGAGCTCTTCTGTCAGTGAGTCGTGGGAGGTCTGGACAGAAAAAGCTTCTCATTGCCGCATGACTGCTGCCTTCCGTTGCTTTAAAAAGCCTGTGTGCACCTCCCTGCCCTGTGCTCCTCTTCAGCTCATGTGCTGGAAGGATACCACGTGAGAAGCATTGATGCTCTTCATCCAGAAGCTCTGCATGGTCCCTCTTTTTGGCTACCCAGCAGCCATGTGCTGAAAGAACATGTATGCTCCGAGGCTGATGGCTCCTCCTGGTGCAGTGGCTTGGGCTGTGACAAAAAGCACCCCAGTATCTCCAGGGTCAACACCAGAGGAGCAGCATTGCAGAGTGCAGAGGGAGGAAATTTGGGGTTTTGGGTACTCGGGGCGGACCTATTCCTGGTGCTCTTCCAGTTTCCCAAGTTACAGCTGAAGATGTGACTGGCTAGTGTAACTTCTGGCAAAAGCTACCAGCACTTAACTATGGGTTAGAGGTTTTAAACAAGGGAAGTCCGAGACTCTGCTGTAGTATCGCCAGCACAGAGCCGACACTGTTTGTTGTGAGCTTTTTTAATCTCCTGTGGCTGGTGACTGCTGGAGCCCTGGGTGGGATGGTAAGAGTTGGGGTGATGGCAAGAGGCAGGTGTCTCCCATAACACCGTGGTATCTCCAGGACTGTTACCAATGTCAGCGGCACACAGCGAGGTCACCAATTCCTATTGCTTTGCAGATTTCCGAAGGTTTCTCGGAGGGGATGTTGCAGAGTGGAAGCGTGAAGCCTCAGGTGCCTCCCCATGCCTTGGCCCTCTACCAGCAGCAGATCACGAAAGCCCACGAGTCGGCCCGCGAGGACGTGCCCCCGAGCAAGCTGTCGCAGTCCCAGCAGCAGGCTGAGAAGGAGCAGCAGCAGCCAAGCAGCAGTCCCAGGGGAAAGAGCCGGAGCCCTGCTGTCGGCGACAAGGAAGGTAGGGGGGTGCACGCGTTGGTGCGTGTTTATCCGCACAGAAATGCCCGGTGTGTGCAGCTGTACGCAGCCGGCAGCCTTCCCCCTCTTAGGTGGAAGCTTGCTTCAACCCTTGAAAGCTCTTTAATAGCATCTTGAAGCAGGACCAGAGAGGCATGGCTAATTTCCCGTGTTCATTAGACAGTACATCATGTCTCATTGAGCCTACAGCGAACACGGGGGCCAGTGTCGAGCGCTGAGGAGGTGAAGATTGCCTTTATTAGCGTCTCTGCCATTCACTTGAGAGCAAAGGGGCCTGGAGGCATGCCAGGGCTCCGGGTACAATGGCTCTTTTCTACCTTGCTGGCTTTCTATAAAGAATGCTTTTAATGCTCAGCGGGGACCGTTATTTCATTTAAAATCAATGCTAATACTGTGACTCGGAGTCCAAAGGTTCCTGTAAAGATTCCCAGTGCTTTCTCCCCGGAATAGCTCTGATGTGGTTTGGCTGCCTAATGAGCAATTCTGAGTTTCCCACCATAGAGCATCTGAAGCGTTATTAGCTTGAGCACCTGGGGATCAAGGTTAAGGAGGGACGGGAAGTCCTGATGAGACCGTCCTCTAAACTAAATGTGTTTTCCATCTGAGTGCCAGAGTCTGTTCCAGTTCCGAGTCCGTGCCCTGGCCCCTCGTAGCCAGCCTGCGGTTCAGTCGCCTGTGAGGGTGAGACGCTGTCACCCATCGCACGATCGGAGGAGCAGGGAAGTGGGGCTGGGTGGGTGCCATGTCCCCCAGTGCTGGATCCTGCACAGGGATGGGTGCAGCTGCCAAAATTACCTGCTGGTGCGTGGGGATGGAAAGCGGATGAGACTGCACTTGACGAGGCAGAGCTGCACTGGAGCCGGGCTATGATCTTTGCTGGAAAATCACTGCGCTAGTTCACCCTCCGGCAGCCAGCAGCTTAGCAGCCTGCTCTGCAGTGCCCAGGCCAAGGTATTTATTCTTCAAGCTGTCGTGTCCCTCTGGACAGAACAGTGTGCTTGCAAGAAGGGTTGGTTGCTGGCACTGGGCCAGCATTTTCTTAAACAATAAATAGCACCGTGTGTGCCTGACACCTCCGGAATGTTTTGCATATAAGCAAGGAAGGCGACTGCTCACCTTGAAAGAAAGGGAGTTCCCGCCAGGTCATGGTGTTGCCACGCGTGAAGTCCCGTCTCCGGCTGATCTGGTCCTGCCGCTCTCGTGTTTGCTGCCCAGGCGGAGCAGTTCCCCTCCAGCTCTCCCCTGCAGCGGCGGGTGGTCAGGTTTGATCTCTTCCTGCGCCATAATCCTCTGCAGATCTGGGCTTGCTCAGCTCAGCTTCCTGGTGAGCTGGGTGGAACGGCCAGCGCTTGAACCCGGCGCTCTGGATCGCCGCTGTCGCGGTGCTGCAGCTCCAGCTTCCTCTTCACCGCAGGAGGATGAGGAGATGAGACAGATTTGTGTGAGTTAGGTGCAAGGCAGGGTGTAGGGATTGGAGATGAACCATGCCATTCTGCGACCTGTTGGCACTGTTATTAAATGCCAGGATCTGATACCCAGGTGGATTTTTTTTTTTATGGCTTTGTTCTCTGCAAAGCACCGATGATGTGAAGCACTTTGTTCTCTCCTCTCGCACCTCATGTTATCTTCCATGTTAATGAAGCTAATTATCTCTCCCTATACCCCTGCAAACATCTCGGCAGATCTCGGGCTCCAGCTGTCTGATCTTCAAACCCTGCGTAGCTGTGCATGCGTGTTGGGTACCAGTGTGGGTCTGGGCTGCACAGGGACCCATGGTCTGGTCTTCTCTGTTCGTGGTGGGAATGCATGTCCCGTTTGAAAACGAGCAGGTTTGTGCTGAGAGTCACCTCGAGGGGAGAAATCACATCCCACAGAGCCCCAGTTTCAGTACGGGTATGGACTCAGGCAACTGCTCAGTGCTGTCTCTGCGTCTTGGAGCACATCCCACCCGTGGATCAGGGGTTAGAGGGGAGATAGCCAGATAGTCCTGGCAAACCTGCGTACGTCCCTTCCCTCCCCTGCGCTCCGAGGCGTCCCAGTGGAGCGGCAGGCGTCCAGGCTGCAGACGTCGTGCTGCCGCACAACCTCTACATGGGCCTCGCGTTAAATGGGAGAGGGCAGCACAGCCCATAAACCCTTCAGGAGAGCAGCCCCACGCTGCCTCCTCGCAAGGGGCCAGCTCCACCGGAGCAGGTACTCCTGTTCCTCCCCTGCTCGATAAGAGAGCTTGAACTCTTGCAACCGCTCCAGAGATCAACATCCTTCGCACCGCTCTGGATCCGCTTCAAAGCCAAGTCTTGCACACATCCTGGCCGAGGCGTTGGCTGCCTCACAGCCGCTGGCTGGGGCCGTATCGGCTTGGAGAAAAAACCCGGTGCTCACCGGCAGGCAGACGGATCCCTTTTCCCATCGCCGAGTTGCCGTCGGGCATATCTTCGGTTATCGCTAGGCGGTTTGAAAGCCAGCGGTATGTTTTGTGTTGATTTAGTTGTGTTTCATTTGGCCTTTGTAGGCGATGGGGAGCCAAGAGCATTAATTTGGATGACGGATCGTATAAACTCTGACTCCTTCGCTCCCATTCCAGGGGCTTGATAAACGGTAATAGGAACTCTCTCTTCCCCATGTAAGTGCTATTTTATCAAAAGCTGGCTGAGTTATAGCCACCCTCTAATGCGGGGGCAATTAGGAACTGGCCGCATTTCACAGGCTGGAGGGACAAGCTGGGGAGGGGACGGCTCCCGCGGGGAGGGGAGGAGGACAGGGCTCTCCAAGAGCCATCCAGGCTGCACGTAGCCTTGGCTGACGGTGCCTTGGCGTTGGAGAGGACCTTCAGCCGGGACATCCCAGCGCCGTTCGCCCCCGCGTCAGCAGAGCTGAGCTGAAGGGGGGAAAATCAGAGAGCGTGGACGTGCCAGGGGCTCTCCGTCGGTCTGGGACGAAGGGATCCTCACTGGGATCCAGCGTGGGGAGGGAGGAGGCTGCTGTAGAGGTGCGTGTGCCTGGACACCTCTGCCTGCTGTTAATGGATTGCTTCCCCCACTGAAGGAGACAAGAATAATCTCCCAGCTTCTGAGTACACTGAGCATCAATAATGATGATGCAGTAAAGCCTCATTAAATTGGGCCTCTGATAATCTACTTGCCCTATTATTAGGCTTAGCAGGATTCAGGCATCTATTTTTATCAAAAATTGACGGTTAAAGACTGGGTTCATTTGTGATTGCTGATGTTTACTGCCCAGTTTCTAGTTTCTGGTCAATGCAGACGTTCGTTATGCAGGTGGGTCTGGGGAAGAAAGGCAGTGCAAAACAGCATTTATCAATTACAAGCAAATCCTACCAAACCTGCACGTGATCCACCCAGAAAAGGCTGTCTCATCCGTCTGCTCAGCAAAACGGGAGGATGCGCTTGGGATGGAGCTGATGCGGATGAAGCCCCTCTTTTCCCCGGCACCGTGCGGAGCAGGGCAGGGTTCAGGCATCCCCAGCGCGGCTCCTCCATCGTTAGGCACTTCTTGGCCTGCAATCAGCCTTTCTGTAGCCAGCAGCCTGGCATCCAGCATACCCAGCTCATTTCAGGAAGCTTTCCTGCGCCCAGCCCCGGTGCCTTGCAGAGGACCACCGAGCCGCCCTGCTCCTCGCAGAGGCATCTGGTTGTCCCGCAGAGTCCGTCTTGATCTTCATTTGCCTTTGACGGTCTCGTACACCGCGGTGCTCCCAGGTGTTCCGAGAACATCTGGTCACGTCAGGCACTGCGTGTTATTCCCTTGTTTTCCAAGAAGCTGATGCCGTTATTTCTGGCCACTTCCCACAGCCTGCAAATGGTTTATAGCCTTGAAGAGCAGCTGAGCTTTCGCATCGTGATGTGATGTGGGGATGAGTTTGTTCCTGGCAGGCGGTGGTCCTTGGCAGGGGCCTGGGGCTGCCTGGGCACCCCGTGCCCGTCTGCACGCCACAGACCGTGTTGGCACCAGCAAGCTGATGCCTGCTGGATGTCCTTCAGGTGCCGGAGGGATGCTAACGTTGGTGCCTCTTGGCTCTGACCTCAGTGAAGGGTTTGGGAGGACCACGGTTGATCCCCCTAGCCCTGCCATGGGGGCTGATGCGGAGCTGTGGGCACTGGCAGGATCTGCCCAGGAGAGGTCTGCACGTGGCCAAGCCCTGGCGAGGAACTGGACCCTGTGCTCGTCCCAGTGACCGGCTGCACACCGAACGCTGTCTCTCCTGGACTGGGTGGGATGTCCATGGAGGTCCCGGCTGGCAGTGAGCACCGGCAGAGTCACCAGCGCAGACGTCTGTCCTCCCCGCTGCGCTGGAACCATCCAAATAAAATAAATGCTGTCAAATGCAGGCAGTGACATTGAGGCTTTTAAGTTTGGTTGTGGAATTTTGCCCTCATCTCCTGGCCAGGTTGGACTGAACTGAAGCCAATTCTCACGTCGGGAGCTGGCGCTGGCTTCCCTGCCCGTGCCCCCAGGGACTGCTCGCCCCTGGGGCCGCTGAGCAAGCTGCTTGCTTTCTGTTTCCCTTGCAGAAAAGTCCGTGCATTTCTCATCCATCACAGAGGCTCAGAAGCTGAGGGCGGAGCCGACAGCCGCCTCGTGCTGGCCCCCTGTCCTGTCCTACTCCCGGGATGTGATCAAAACCTCGCCCCAGGCGGAGCCCCACTTGTTCCAGTATAACCCACCAGGCAAGTCAAAGCCGCCGGCTCTGCGTG